AAAAAAAAAAAAAAATGCTTCCCAGGTGACTCTGATGTGCAGCCAGGGCTGAGACACACCGACTTATAACAGTCCTCTGATCATCTCCATTTTACAGATAAAGAAACTACATTGCTATTACTCCTATTATTCCTTGTCCTTTTCAGTATTAATATATTACCCTCCCCGTTAGTTCTTTGATCTATTTGAGGGAGAAAAGGAGGGGAGATAGGGAGTAGAGGGGGTGTTGTCTCTCCCACCAGAACAGTTTTTGCTTGAGTGGTCTGCAATCTAACTGCCCCAATATTCATTCGCAAATCAAGATTACCCTGGGGGCCGGTCTGGTGGCGCAGGCCGTTAAGTGCTCGTGCTCTGCTGTGGTGGCCTGGGGTTCACGCACTGACACACCGCTTGTTAAGCCATGCTGTGGTGGCGCCCCATATAAAGTAGAGGAAGATGGGCACGGATGTTAGCCCAGGGCCAGTCTTCCTCAGCAAAAAAAAAGAAAAAAAAAAAAAAAGAGGAGGATTGGCATTGGATGTTAGCTCAGGGCTTGTCCTCCTCACAAAAAACAAAAAAGATTACCCTGGACATTAGGGAATAACAGGAGTGGAAGTTTGCAGTTGGGCACCCCCTGCTCACTGTACCCACAGCAGATGCACAAAAGCCAGACCTGAGATGGCTCTATTATGCCCATCAGAAGGCAACAGCAGACTCGTGGGCAGGTGAAAGCAGTGACGGTGACAGGCCCTTGTCTGCCCATCAGGAAGGCTCTGAAGCCAGAAGTTCAGGCCCCATGGTGCAGAAGTCACTCAGCTAGGTTAGGGGGGCGAGGGGTAGACAGTGAGAGCCCCTCTTGATTAGAACAGAGCTACCCAGGGTATCACCCAGGGAGAGAGCAGGGGGAGCCATCCAACCTATAATGGAGGTCATTGCCAACATGAAGTCAAAAATATGGGACTGCTGAAACATTGATGCACATACGCAAAGCATGCATATTCCAATACCCTCCCACAGCAACAGTCAATATCTAACCCATGGTCTAATGCAGCAAAGGGCTGGTAGTCAGGAGGCCCGATTCCTGGGCCTGACCTGCCGTCAAAGATTCGAGGGCTTGGACAAGGAACCGCCTTCTCAGTTCGTGTTTTTCCACCTGCCACCTGAGGTCTCACCTCAGAAAGCTTCATGTCAGGAATCTCTAAAGAGCCTGCGACAACTCTGAACAGACATGAAGGCTTTCCCTTCACTTTCCAAATTCCTACCTCTGGGC